ATGGCGGGTCTTCCCCACGCCGCTCCTCGAGCTGATGCCGATGGCGGCGCTGGCGTCGCTGCCGACGGTCACGGACCATGCCGCTCCGGCACCGCGCAGATCCGCGATCTCCTTGAAGAGGCTCTGGGTCATGATACCCCTGGCCGCACCGTCGACGATGCCGTAAAGCTCGGCCTCCGCACTGGAGAGGGCACGGACCTGGTCAGTCACGACCCAGGACTCGATCAAATGCGAGCCCACGAACTCGCAACCTGCGTGGGTCGAGTACCGGTCTGGCTCCTCGGCCCAGTTGCTGTCGACTGGGATCCAAGAGCCACCTGCCTCCGGCTCGTGCTTGAAGACGAGCGCCAAGAACGGGCAGCCTGCGAGGTACCGCGCGCAGCGGTCCAGCCTTGCATTGCCTAGCCGGCGAGGCGTGGACATCTGCTCGCCCAGTTCCTTGGCCGAGTACTGGATGTCGAAGCGCCCGGACGACACGTACAGCACGCGACCGGTGTCGCTACGATACTTGGTCTGCGACTCGCCGTCGAGCTCGTCGAGGATCGCCGGATCGTCCCTGCCGATGTGCTTGCTGCATGGGCTCCCTTGGGGCTTAGCTTTGAGCTTGCCCGTGCTTTCCAAGAGCATCGTAACGTGTTTCGGGTCCTCGTTCCACTCGTAGCCGAATCCCGGCACGTAGCAGATGTAGCGCTTGAGGTAACGGCCCATCAGGCTGCAACCAGGTCCAACGCGAGGGAGGACCTTGATGTTGCACAGCCGGCTGATCATGGCGTCAAGGTGGTCGATGCCCTCGCTCTCCGCCTCAGCTATGATGTCGTCCCCCCACAAACCGGCCAAAGAGTCGTACTGCCTCGAGTCGAAGATCTGGCGGCTGGTTTTCAAAACCTGGTAGCCGCACTGGTCGAAGACCTTCACCATAAACTCGAGGAACAGCTGAGACGCACGGCGCGAGCCATACATCGCCTTCAGCATCTGCCACACCATCCCTGGGACCTCCTCGCCCCTAGGCGGGATCACCGTGATCGGCTCGTCCAGCGGCAAGTCGGCGTGCCAGAATGCTGTGACGATGTCGTAGAGCCCCAGCACCCTGGTCCACTCGTTGGAGCCAGGACGTCTTATTGAGGCAGCTCGTGAGACGATCAACTTGATGAACTTCAGTGGGGGCGTCGCCGTGTACGTGTCCAGCCGGTCGTACATGTTGAACTCCATGGCCACGCACCTCGACCGGACGGTGGTCTCACCGTCCTGCACGCGCTTCTCGTCGAGCCACATGCTGCGCACCTTCTTACCCCTAGCGTCCTTCATTGGCACGCGCTCGTAGAGGCACCTGTCCAGCATGTTCTGGCGCTCCCGTGCGCGGCCCGAGCGCACGAGCTCGGGGTCGAGCACCTCGCCGGTCTTATGGTCCTTGACGTCCTGCGTGCCGATGTCTGGCGTCGCCACGTAGGCCACCAGCGTTACGATGCTCCTGGCCTCCGCAAGGGACGGCTGGCCGCACACATGCAGAGCGCCGATTACGCGCCTCCTCGAAGACGCGGGCCCGCTGGCATCAGCGCCACCACTCTCGAAGAGCTCGACCTTCTCCTGGAAGCTCAGGTCCTCCCGCTCGCGCTTCGCCGCGATGCTCGCAGCCTCCATCTCTGCGTCCACGGCGGGGTCACGGGCTGCCGGGGCCAGCCCTGGTGGAGCGGCAGGGGCCGCATCCTCCGCCGGAGCTGCCATGTCGGCGTCTGGAGCGGCTCCGGCAGGTGCGGGGAGCCCCGGGGGGGCTTCGAGTTGAGGGCCGGACGCCGCCGGCTGGGGCGCCTCTGCGGAGGCCGCTGGCGCTGCGGCACTACTGCTTGCTAATGCCTCATCCTCCTTCCCCCAGATCGCCAAGAAACGAGCCTTGCAGGTGTCGCTGTGTCCCGTCGTGCGCCCCGTGCAGCCGGGGCACTCGGGAGTGAGGCCGTACTTGTCGAGGTAAGCCTTCGTGATGTAGCGCTTCGGCCGGACGGCCGGGGTCTGGGCGTCCAGGCGCGGAAGCCACGGAGTGCAGAGCACCTTATCCAGCATCTTCTTGTTCCACCTCTTGCCTATAGCCTTGCGGCGGACAGATCTGGCTAGGCGCACTTCGTTGCCCAACACGATGATGTGCTCGTCGGTCTTCCAGCTCTTGCCCAACCAGATGCACGTGGTCCAGCGCTGGTCCAAGGACGAGAGACGGGAGGCATCGGGGGTCCGGTACCACAGGCACTCCCCGAAGAGGGCAATCTTGCCGTTGTATGGCCGGCCCTTCAACCTCTCGTAGCCCGTCTGGCCGTCCGCGCGCACACGGTACATGCATATGCACCAGCCGCAGTGCCGCACAAGCCAAGGCACCAGCGGGTGACCAGTGTGCAGCTCGACCTTCGCCACGTCCCTCAGGTACAGGACGATGGTCCTCAGGAGGTTCTTCACCTCCTTGTTCATGTTCTCGACGCCGCCCATGGACTCAGGCGAGTACCGGGGCTTCATCTCCAAGACTGTGGGATCCGCACGCCCGATGCGGATCGCCTCCGCCAGGGCCTTGATGGCGGGCTCGCCGTCGACCCTCAAAATGATGGCCTTCCTACCCCAGTACCCGAGGTACTCAATGACGCTGCGGATCGCGTACTCGATGGGGCCCTTCTCGTCCACCACCAGCGCCAACACCATCCCGAGCTCCTGGTCGTATACGGTCAGGATCGTCATCATGTCGAACGGGGGGTCGGTCACGAACGTGTAGTCCATCATCACAATCGGCTTCAAAGGCATCGTAACGGGCATGCGCGTCCGATGGTGAGGATCGTCAGGGGCCGCAGCCCGTGTGCAGTAGCTGCACCATGATCTAAACGGGATGTGGGTCAAGTAGTGCTCCTCCTTCTCGTGATCCGAGGGGCCGATGGGGACCTTCACGGATCGGTGAGGCCTCGCCTCCTCAGAGGCATCCAGGGGGGCTGGAATGCGTCGTAACGCCTCCCTGGGGGCCGCCCGGGCCTCTACAGGTGCCGCGTCCGCCGCCGCGGGGCCTACCGCAGGCGCGGGCTGCACCTCCCCCGCAGTCGCGGGCTCAGCCGCAGACGCGGGCTCTCCTACCTCGATGGCCGTTGGGACGCGCGCTGCACGGATCCCTCGGGCCTGCCGCCGAAGCCTCAACCACGGCACGTCCGACTGCATGACGAGGTCGACGCAGCCTCCACTGGCAGTGTGGAGCATCTCACGCTCCGGGGCGATCACGACAGTCGCCCCTCCGCGCCGCAGCGCGGAGGCCGAGAGGATCAGGCAGTTCACGTTCGTCACGTTCCACGTGATAGCCAGCTCCTCCCCGTTGTCCAACACGTAGGTGATGTTCTTGGTGCCGTAGTTCTTGATGGGCTCGCTCGTGGCACTCACCATGGGACGAAGATCCCTACGAGGAGGCAGCATGGGAACATCAGGTGCATAATCAGCAGGGCATGCCACGACCCCCGACCCGGAGTCCAGCAGGGCAAGCTCGACACCACCATGTCCCACCGCAGCAATCATGCCAGCAGGCTGGATCATGTTGACCGTCAATGGATCGTCCGCGGCTCGTCCGGAGACGAGCTGGATGCTGCGCCGGAGCCCTGAGGAAGAACTGCCGGGGTTCCTGCGCCGGAGCCCTGAGGAAGAACTGCCGGGGTTCCGGGTAGAACCGGCGGCACGGGGCCTAGACCCATGACGACGGTGCCTGGGGGGTGAATGGAGTGGATGCCGTGCGCTGGAGGCGCTCCCCCCTGGCCCGGGTACCACATGGGCTGGAAGAGCGCCGGGTACGCCGCGTTCATCGGCATCGGCACGCCCGGCGCGGGCAGGGCCAGCTGCGTGCTGGTGCTGCTGCTTCCTAATGCCCCTGCTGCTGCTCCTCCTCCTGCTCCTCCTCCTCGGGCCTCCTCTGTCACGCTGCGGGCTCCTGCTCCTGGCAGTGGCTTGCCGTTCGCGTCCACCTTCCCGGCCTTGATGTCGGCCTTGAGCTTCCTGCACTCGTTCTTGAAGTGGTTGGGCTTCCCGCAGTAGTGGCACTCCTTGCCCGAGGCGGGGTTGTGGGTGTCTTTGGTCTTGGCTTTGCCCTTGGAGTCCTTTCCTTTCCCTTTGGAGTCCTTCCCCTTGCCCTTGGAGGTCTTGCCTTTGCCGTCCTTGACGGCTCCGATCAGCATGGGGTCGTCGACGTCCTGGGCCCACGTCCGCTTGGCCACGGCGAAATTCAGGACCTCCGCCCGCAGCCTCTGGAACGTGTCCAGACGAGCGGCGTTGAGCAGGAGGTGATCCCGGACCTTCGTGTTCTGCATGCCGCCCACCAACGTCGAGATCTTGACGTCCTCGTCCAGCACCTTCCCGCTCTGATTCTCGCAACGCCGGACGTCCCGCTCCAAGCTCTCGATCTCCTTCGCGAGGTCGCCGTTCGGGTCCTTGCCGAACTCGCGGCGCAGGAGTGCGTGCAGCACTGCGCCATGGCGGACTCGCACGTCTGGTTCGTACTCCCAGCACAGCCCCCGCCAGGCCTCTGCGCCGTTGCCCTCCTCCACGTTGTGCAGGAGAAGGTGAGCGTCGTCCGTCGTCGTCATCACCAGCATGTAATACAGCTGGCGGCTCAAGGCGGCCGTGGCCTCGTCGAGATCTTGACCTTCCACGACATTGGCTCCCATCGCCTCCACGCGCGTGAAGAGCTCCGCCATGTTGGCATGCGCGGCGCAGGCGAAGGCATGGAAGACGAAACGGAACTCCCGCCACGCCTCGCGGTGCCCTGAGAAGCTCGCCGGCTTCCCCAGGGTCCGCGTGTCCACGGTCGCGCCGCCAAGGCGCTCCAGTAGCGGCTGCTGCGGTGCCGCCGCGGGCGCGGCACGAAGCTGCGCGAGCTCGGCCTGCGCCGCCTGCAGGCCTTGCTCCGCGGCCTGCCCGCGCTGCTGCTGCCGCTGGAGCTCCTGCACCAGTTCCTGCTGCCGCGCCTCCATGGCCTGCAGCCGCTGGGCCAACTCCTCCATCGTCCCCGCCGGAACGACGCGCGCGGGCGCCGACGGAGCGCCCGCCGCGCTTGCTGGGCATGTACTGCCGCAGACCGCGGGGCTACCGCAGGTCGCGGGTCCCAACCAGGCGCGGGGCTAACCGCTGCCTAGTGGGCTTCCCAGGCGCGGGGCTACCCGTTTCCTAGGGGGAGCCGCGGATTCAAACCGCAGGCTCCGCTACCATGCGCGAGTACGAAACTCGCGGGAGTGATCGCAGATGGGAGGGAAAGAATAGGGCGCTCTTTTCCTCCACGCTCGGATGCTTGAGCCAACGGTTACGGACACGATAGCTTGCACCGCGAACGCCGCGATGCACAATCCCATGATGTGGGATAGCTCATGTCCGCACGCTGCTACACAATGCTATGCACAAACTTGCATCAGGCTTGCTACCTTCACTTTCCTAGGCTATGTAGTTCACCACTTGCGCCCGCCAGGTTTGGGCCTCAGGTCGTTTTCACTAAACCACGTTTTACTAAAGGGAGGTCTGTCCATCCCCGAATAGAGGAAAAAGAACTATGCTTAAGTCGGGCGTGTCCCCCTACAGGGGGATTTTCGACGAAAAATAAAAGATACCCCCAGAATAGTCAAAAGATAGTCCAAAAATAGTCTGGGGACTATTCTTGGACTATTTTTTGCCTTTCTGGAGCATATTGGGTTTTTCCCAACCCTCCTGCGTTGGGTACTCGTTTTGCATAGAGCACTGCGGTCTCCGTTCTCCTCCTCCCGCCCCCCCCTCTCTTCCCTCCTCCTCTCCTCTCTTGCTTTCCTTCTCCTCCTCTCTTCGCTCCTCCTCTTCTCTCTTGCATCCCTTCTCCTCTCTTCGCTCCTCCTCTCTTGCTTCCCTTCTCCTCCTCTCTTCGCTCCTCCTCTTCTCTCTTGCCTTTTACGTCATCCCTTTGGGGCTGCGATCTGTGAAACTGTCGCCACTTTCGAGGGCTGCTGGTGGGTCCAGCGGAGTGAGGCACCACGCAGATTCAGATTAGACCTCGCCATCCCTGGGGGGCTGCGATCTGTGAAACTGTCGCCACTTTCGAGGCCTGCTGGGGGGCCCAGCGGAGTGACGCCTTACGGGGATACATATTAGACCTCGCCATCCCTGGGGGGCTGCGATCTGTGAAACTGTCGCCACTTTCGAAGGCTGCTGGGGGGCCAGCGGAGTGACGTCCTACGGGAATTCAGATTAGACCTCGCCAGCGCTGGGGGGCTACGATCTGTGAAACTGTCGCCACTTTCGAGGGCTGCTGTGGGGCCCAGCGGAGTGACGCCCTACGGGGATTCAGAATTAGACTCCGCCATCCATGGGGGGCCAGCGATCTGTTGAAACTGTCGCCACTTCGAGGGATGCTGGGGGGGCCCAGCGGCGTAGTGACGCCCTACGTGGACTCAGATTAGAACTCCCTCGCATCCCTGGGGGCTGCGATCTGTGAAACTGTCGCCACTCTCGAGGGCTGCTGGGGGGCCCAGCGGAAGTGGACGGCCTTTTTTTTTTAACCCCGGGGGGGGGGGGGGCGTGAACTCAGATTAGACCTCGCCATTCCTGGGGGGCTGCGATCTGTGAAACTGTCGTCACTTTCGAGGGCTGCTGGGGGGCCCAGCGGAGTGACGCCCTACGGGGATTCAGATTAGACCTCGCCATCCCTGGGGGGCTGCGATCTGTGAAACTGTCGCCACTTTCGAAGGCTGCGCGGGGGGCCCAGCGGAGTGACGCCCTACGGGGATACAGACTAGACCTCGCCATCCCTGGGGGGCTGCGATCTGTGAAGCTGTCGCCACTTTCGAAGGCTGCTGGGGGGCCAGCGGAGTGACGTCCTACGGGGACTCAGATTAGACCTCGCAGGCGCTGGGGGGCTACGATCTGTGAAACTGTCGCCACTTTCGAGGGCTTCTGGGGGGCCCAGCACAGTGGGCACCCACGGCGGATTCAAATGGGACCTCGCCATCCCTGGGGGGCTGCGATCTGTGAAACTGTCGCCACTTTCGAGGCCTGCTGGGGGGCCCAGCACAGTGGGCACCCACGGCGGATTCAAATGTGACCTCGCCATCCCTGGGGGGCTGCGATCCGTGAAACTGTCGCCACGTTCGAGGGTTGCTGGGGGGCCCAGCACAGTGGGTACTCACGGCGGATTCAAATAGGACCTCGCCATCCCTGGGGGGCTGCGATCTGTGAAACTGTCGCCACTTTCGAGGGCTGCTGGGGGGCCCAGCGCAGTGGGTACTCACGGCGGATTCAAATGAGACCTCGCCATCCCTGGGGGGCTGCGATCTGTGAAACAGTCGCCACGTTCGAGGGCTGCTGGGGGGGCCCAGCACAGTGGGTACCCACGGCGGATTCAAATGGTACCTCGCCATCCCTGGGGGGCTGCGATCTGTGAAAAATGTCGCCACGTTCGAGAGGGTTTGCTGGGGGCCCAGCACAGGGGTACCATGGCGGGTTTCAAATTGGGGACATCCGCCATTCCCTATGGGGGGCTGCGATCTGTGAAACTGTCGCCACTTTCGAGGGCTGCTGGGGGCCCAGCACAGTTGGTACCCACGCCGGATTCAAATGGGACCTCGCCATCCCTGGGGGGCTGCGATCTGTGAAACTGTCGCCACTTTCGAGGCCTGCTGGGGGGCCCAGCACAGTGGGTACTCACGGCGGATTCAAATTAGACCTCGCCATCCCTGGGGGGCTGCGATCTGTGAAACTGTCGCCACTTTCGAGGGCTGCTGAGGGGCCCAGCACAGTGGGTACTCACCGCGGACTCAAATTAGACCTCGCCATCCATGGGGGGCTGCGATCTGTGAAACTGTCGCCACTTTCGAGGGCTGCTGAGGGGCCCAACACAGTGGGTACTCACCGCAGACTCAAATGGGACCTCGCCATCCCTGGGGGCTGCGATCTGTGAAAATGTCGCCGCTTTCGAGAGCTGCTGGGGGGGCCAGCACAGTGGGTACTCACCGCAGACTCAAATGGGACCTCGCCATCCTTGGGGGGCTGCGATCTGTGAAACTGTCGCCACTTTCGAGGGCTGCTGGGGGGGCCCAGCACAGTGGGCTTCCCGCACGTCTTTCTCCTGCTCTTCGCTCCCGTCTCCCCATGTCCTCTTCGAGCCTGTAGCTGTTGCCCCTCTTTCTTGTATGGTTCTCCTGCGCATCATGCCATAGGCGCGTGTCCCAAGTAGCTTACATATCAAACAACGGATCCTGCAATTTCATTGCCCATGCAAGTTTCGGTCAACTCCTCGTTCCCCATGATACAAATGGGTTGGGTACGTCACAGGGTAATTTTCCCCATATCCTAAGATGGGGTTCTTGTTATTCTTGGACGCCTCCTACTCCCTCTCCCTCCTCCTCGTTCCTCCTCCCCTCCTCCTCTTTCCTCATACTCAGACCTACTCATACTCAAGCTTACTCACACTCAGACATACCCATACACAGACTTACTCATACTCAGACTTACTCACACTCAGACATACTCATACACAGACTTACTCATACACAGACTTACTCACACCCAGACGTACTCATACACAGATTTACTCATACCCAGACTTACTCATACACAGTATTACTCATACTCAGACTTACTCATACCCAGACGTACACATACACAGACTTTCTCATACACAGACCTACTCATACTCAGACCTACGCATACTCAGACTTACTCAACACACATCAGATTTGGAGGATGTCTCAAGCGGGGCGCTGGTTTCAGCACCCCTAAGGGGAGCCGCCAGGGGTGTTTGCACGGGCTCGTTCGCGGTCATTGTGTGGGGATGTCTCAGGCGGTTTGCTTGTTTCTGGGCTCAACATCCTTCGCTTGGATAGCAGATTGTGAGGATGTCTCAGGCGGGGCGCTGGTTTCAGTACCCCTAAGGGGAGCCGCCAGGGGTGTTTGCACGGGCTCGTTCGCGGCCATTTTGTGGGGATGTCTCAGGCGGTTTGCTTTTTTTTTTTTTTGTTTTTTTTTTTTTTTTTTTTTTTTTTTTTTTTTTTTGTTTCTGGGCTAAACATCCTTTCGCGTGGGGAGCGATTGTGAGGATTGTCTCAGGCGGGGCGCTGGTTCAGCACCCCTAAGGGGAGCCGCAAGGGGGGTTTGCACGGGCTCGTTCGCGGCCATTTTTGGGGATGTCTCATGCGGTTTGCTTTGTTGATGGAGCCTAAAATCCTTCGCTTGGAGAGCAGGTTGTTGAGGAGGTACAGGCGGGGCTTGCTTCAGCACCCTTGAAGGGGGCCGCCGCCGTCAGGGGTGTTCGCACGGGCTCGTCGCAGCCATTTGTGGGGATGTCTCAGGCGGTTGATTGTTTCTGGGGCTCAAACCTTCGCTTGGAGAGGCAGATTGTGAGGATGTCTAGGCGGGGCGCTGGTTTCAGCACCCCTAAGGGGTGCCGCCAGGGGTGTTTGCACGGGCTCGTTCGCGGCCATTTTGTGGGGATGTCTCAGGCGGTTTGCTTGTTGATGGGCCTAACATCCTTCGCTTGGAGAGAAGATTGTGAGGATGTCTCAGGCGGGGCCCTGGTTTCAGCACCCCTAAGGAGAGCCGCCAGGGGTGTTTGCACGGGCTCGTTCGCGGCCAGTTTGTGGGGATGTCTCAGGCGGTTTGCTTGTTTCTGGGCTCAACCTCCTTCGCTTGGAGAGCAGATTGTGAGGATGTCTCAGGCGGGGCGCTGGTTTCAGCACCCCTAAGGGGGGCCGCCAGGGGTGTTTGCACGGGCTCGTTCGCGGCCATTTTGTGGGGATGTCTCAGGCGGTTCGCCTGTTTCTGGGCTCAACATCCTTCGCTTGGAGCGCAGATTGTGAGGATGTCTCAGGCGGGGCGCTGGTTTCAGCACCCCTAAGGGGGAGCCGCCAGGGATGGTTGCACGGGCTCATTCGCGGTCAGTTTGTGGGGATGTCTCAGGCGGTTCGCTTGTTTCTGGGCTCAACAGGCAGGGAAATGACAGGAACGAGGATGAGGAGGAGGAACAGGAGGAGGAGGAGGAGGAGGCGGG